TGTGCAAATCTCACAGTGAATTTCCTCCATCAATTTTTCCGGCAATTCCAGATACTTAGTCTCACAATGAATTCTCACTAGGAATTCAACTTAGCAGAATTCGTCTAATATGCACAACTTTGTGCATATCGACGAAAAATGGTTCTATTTGACGAGGGTGAAAAAGAAGTTTTACGTGTACGAGGATGAAGCTATGGCTGCTCGTTTTGTGAAATCGAAGAGATTTATAACAAAAGTTATGTTTTTGGCGGCGATTTCCCGCCCTCGAGTTGACTTAAACGGCAACATATTTGACGGCAAAATTGGCGTTTGGCCATTTGTCGAAAAATTGCCTGCAAAACGCAACGCGCGAAAGGCTCAATTGTGACGACTCCGAAATCTGCGGACTCCAATGTATACTTGGAAATGGTGTTAAATAATGTCGTGCCGGCAATAAAGGCCAAGTTCCCTCGCTCTACACAGCGATCGGGCTTAACAATCCAACAAGACAATGCCAGCCCACACAAATGCCTCATGACAAGTATGTTGGAGACGCGCGGCGTGTCCGGAATTGCAGTTACCGACCAACCCCCCAATAGCCCAGACTTTAATGTCTTAGACTTAGGATTCTTTAATTCTATTCAAAGCCTGCAGTATCGAAAGTGAACTCGAACAATCGAGGAGCATATTGATGCTGTGGAAACCTCGTTTTATGAATTGCCTGTGGACACGGTGTCAAAAACTTTCATCACACTTCAAAAGGTGATGGAGAAATGCATCGAAATTCACGGTAGCAATGATTATAAGCTCCCTCACATGAAGAAGGATGCGTTGATAGAGGACTTCACGGCCTTCAACGTTGAGTGCGATGCCTATAACTACGAGAGTGTTTTGATCCATTTGAACTTCCGACTTGGGGAAGAGGCTTCCATGGAAGCACTACTGAATTCTCAAGAATAAGGTCTTTGGCAATTGAATAAAAATGCATTGTATTTTTTTGCCACATTTATTCGTTGCTGAAGTGACATACAAATACTACCTCTGTTCCAAATTAGTGCCGACATTTGTAAATTGCACTTTTTCCAAATTACTGGAGACATTTCTATCCAATTGGCTAACACAAATGAATCATACATATTATTGGTCAAAAAGCTCATTGGCCAATTGGGCCACATCCGAGACATCAAGTCAGGAAATACTGGCCGTTTGTGCCGCGACACGACGCATGGCATCCTTTCGCAAGTGAGGTAAACGATATTGATTGCCACCACCATGTTCGACGATAAGTCGCATAACCGCTTGCAGGGTTAGGAACACCTTCGCCAGGGACTCGCTGTCGCAAAGTTCAAACGCTACCAGGGTAGCACGAATCACATCATCAACCGAGCGACTCACCAGCTTGTATTGTAGCGATTGAATCGAGGCAAAGAAGCCCAGATCTAGGACGTTTAGATCTGGGCTGTTTGGAGGCTGACGGCGAAGGACGAAAGTCCATCCATCGGTCGAAACGGAGGCAAGGTCTTCGTTGGTGATGCCGCCATGAGGAGTGGCATTGTCGTGCTGAATCACAACGCGCTTGGTCGAGGTGGGAAACTTGCCCTTGATCGCTGGGATAACTCTTGTAAAAATGTAGTCACGATACACCTCCGCGTCGACATTGACCAATGTCGGCACGATCATCCCCGCAGGTCGGTTCCTTGAGTTGCGAAGAGCAGCTTGGTACTTCACGATGGGCCATATTCCGATCTTGCCGTCGAAGGTGCATCTACGCTCATGGTCGTACCTAGGACGGGCTACAGGGAACGACGGAAAACCTTCCCCCGTGGTACTAGTGCAATATCTTGATATTTGTATAAGGTAATATTATTTCGACGTTGGGTTTTGCTGGAAATTTTATTGTAT